TGCTAACACTACCAATATTTTTCTGCAAAATTATGTAGTTTTGTCCACGGTATTATATTTTTTTTACGTTTCGCCTCTGTGCTTCGATTGAAACACTCATTTTAATATAATTCGCCAGAGTAAAGCTTTCGCTGGGAACAATGAGCAGAAGCTACGAAAAGACTAACGGTAAAGTACTTTCACCAATTCGCTGATTTGATTGCAATCAGTTTCACATTGTCCCCGTTGCTACGCAAATTGCCTAAATCAATTGTGTCCTTTCAACTGAACTCTCTATGTTTACAAAACTTACACAGCCGGGTTATACTCGCRCTCACCTAAYGGCATTTTAGCACTACCACACGATYGGGTGGTATCAGACAGCTATATATGTAATAAAATGTGTATGTATGTATGTAATAATGGATATATGTATGTATGAATGCATGGCTATGTTTATATCTAAAAACTGAGATTTCGCATTGCATTAATATGTGCGTATATGTATTAGTGTGCACGTACAAYACAGATTGTGTGGATTAATAGCGCTTAGAATAAGGTTGTTGGTGTTGTATGTTGTATTTTAACCATTCCAACAAATAGGTTTAAACGAATCAACGGCTGTCATTGCATTTGATTTTCCAGCCTAAATAGCGCATACACACATACACGCTGGTAAGCAAAAAAGYAATCGCCGTTATTGCCGAAAATATTCTCGCTGCCGATTTATATGCAAAAGCGGTTATCTGCTGCATTGCAATTACGCAATTGAGCATTAAAGTGGATTTGCGAWATAATTTATTTGTGATCGGCGTTTGTTGAGCCGCAATGCTATGAAATATTTAAAACCTTCGCACAGGATTTTGTAGGAGTTAGCGRGAAAACGGGATACGCATTTGCGCATAGTAAAATTTAATTTAAGTATATTTAGAGAACTTCATATACATACATATTTATATATACTAGTGCATACACAATTTGTTAGAAGTTGATTAATCCTATTTGAAACTAATATTGGAAATCAGTACCATTTTCTTAATCAAGTGAGATTTTCAAATATACAAGGTGCGTTCCAAAGTAAACAGAACTATTTTATTCCAAATAGTCTCCTTCYGCTTCAATACAGCTTCTTGCATGGTTCAAAAGCATGTCSAACGATTGTTTTAACCATTTGGTCGGCATGGCCGCCAGTATGCCAATGCAAGCCGTTTGAATGTCCTCTACGTCTGCATAACGYTTTCCTTTCGTGTTCAAATGCATTTTTCCGAAAAGGAAAAAGTCGCACAGCGCCATATCAGGTGAATTCGGGGAATGTTTAATTTTTAAAATGCGATTTTTGATCAAATAATCGATCACAAACGTCGATCGAATGTTGGATTCTGAGCAATTTTTGGTCGTCAGTCAATTTGTGCGGAACAAACACCTTTCGTAAGCCCAAATGTGCGGTCAAAGTGCGATAAATCGATGTTTTGGAGATGTTCAATTACATTTCCATGAATGTCAATGATTATTTCGGCTGATTTTTGATAAATTTTGATAAATTCAGCACTCTGCCACGGGATAGGCAATCATCGCCACAAACTTGTTTCATCAATTGAAACGTTTCGGTAAAAGTTTTACCAATTTTAAAMCAAATTTTAATGTTGGCGCTTTGCTCAAAGCTCGTTTTCGCACCGATAACACAAACATAMTGACACTTACAACGCAATAATTACACTGCCAAACAATGAAATGTCATGAAATTCTCACTGGACAATCGATTGAAATAGCAGATTCTAACGCAGCAGTCGRCATATAGATGGCAAAAAGTCCTGTTTACTTTGGAACTCTCCTTGTATAATATTATAAATAATATGTTAAAATCAATATCCCTTTTACATTTATTATATAACCATTTGATTATTTATTCTGATTCCACATTTATTCATAGAAAATATTTTAAACGCATAGAAAAATATTTTTTAGATATATACATATATTTGAATAAATTTTCTTTCAAATACTTGCAAATTAATATCAACAAAGCTTTATTTAAGATTATACTCAATAAATTTCACAATTTCAATTTCAGGCCAAAAGTCTGCGCCATTTGCTCAATTATGTCGCCAAACAATGTGCGCCAGTGCGTATAAGCAACGATGCCCCACATACTAATGCACAGCTGTAGCAAGGACACTAACAGATTAATTGCCAGCGTCTGCCATACGGTGGYGCGCATTTAAAGACATCTTCTATTAAAAATAAATAATAAYACAGACGCCAAACTTGGACGTCAACGGAATTCGCGCAAAATGCCGCAGCGGAACGCCGAGTACACGAACGACACAGAAGCAGTGGCTTGGCCCGGCCGTGGAGCGGCACTGAGCCTGCTAATGCTGTCGATGCTCGCAAAGCAGTTGACTTRTGAATTCATTAAAAATGCATGGGCAGTAATAACGGTGAAACCAACAGCAACAACAAGCTACGCTGAACTGACAGCGAAGACGACGAAGAACGTGCATGCCGACGTAGATAAGGAGACAAAGGCGCCAAACTCAAAAGCGCTAGCACAAATTGTTGCAGTGAAATAGAGAAAGAAATATAAAAGAAGGAAACTTTAAGCAGAAGACACAAAATCACTGAAACTTAGTTAACAAGAAATATTAAAAGAAAAAATTKAGTCTTTAAAGCAACGAATTGCCGCGTGCAAGCAGATGAACTGGTCGGCAAAACATTTTACASAGTTATCAGCTGAGCTGAAATTGTTATTTTTGAAAAATGTTTTCAGAAGGCACACACTTTTTGGAACATAACGACGATAAAACTCTTAGAAAATTTTCGCAAACGTGTGTCCAATAGACCAGCGAGCAGCTAAGCTGGCAACACAAACCAAGCTTGTTACTCTTCTAACGCTAAGAAAAAGAGAAGATAAAASAATAAAAAAAATATTAAATAATTTAAGCAATAGCATTAAATAATAAATAAAATAAAAACAACGAAATTGAAAAATCTAACTTCAATAAATATTCGAAACAATTAAATGACGCGCTAAAACAACACAAAAACAAAAAATAGCATAAAATATAAAAATAAATAATAAAATATTGGCTTAAAGCTACAAGCAAATAACACACAAAAAARCAACAAAAAACGAAAACGCATAACAAAAGGAAAAACAAAACTCTCCGCAAAACCTAGAAGCCCTAATCTAAAAACAAAGGAAACGAATAAACACGCAACGAGACAACACTGTAAACCAAAAAAATCTATCAAGATGAGTGATGACCAAACAACGCCCAATGATGATAAAGGTAAGTCAAAGTACACAAACCAAAACGAAATACAAGCAGCACACTTATTACCCCCTCATGCCGCAATAAATGTCGAAGATTAAGTGCACAGAAGATAGCGGGAAAAAATTGTAACAACAAAAAGTGAACGATGCATGAAAAAATGTGTCAATTCTCGTGTCGTGTGACAGGTCAAGTGGGATTAGTTGTGCCCCTGAGTGAGGTCAGAATGTGGTTGCAAAGAAAAAAGCAAAGTGGGATAATGTGAATGCAATATAGAAACTGTTATTTAGTAAGAGAAAAAAAGTAACAACATATCTGACGTATTTGCATCTGATGATGTATGAAGTGGATGAAATATKTTACTGCTTCTAACATGTAAAAAATTATAGTGTTTTCATACTTCGTAWTGCGGAAATCAAGGCAGCTGTCGTAATATGTTTTTTCTGCTTTGATTTGAGAAATATATTATTACACAGTTTATTTTCAATTTCGATTAATCGAATCTGATATAGTCGATGTTTTGCGCTAACTGCGATTGCTGCTCTGATATGTTCCCATAGTCAATAAATAAAAATTGTTTATTATTACTAAAACTTTAAATATTCAGCTTTAGCGGGATGGGTCGAGCAAGAACGCATTGCAGTCTCAAAAAATATATATAAATTCTTCGAATGACTCGCGAGAAAAGTCGAGCTCTCTTGCATCTCTCTAATACTTGCCCCACGATTTTCAATCGCCATATCCGTAATTTTTTAAATATTTTCGACAGATGAAGAGGTCAAAGGTCGTCTAAAATGAGGCTCGACTCGACCGTCGTTGAAGGCTTTGTACCACTCTTAAGCTTGTTTTTTAGACAAAACTGAATTACCGCAARCCTTTTTCAACATTCGCAAAGATACCGCACATGAAATTTGATTAAAAATGGAAAATTTGAGACAAACTCTTTGTTCGATATTTTTATTAAATGGTAGTAAGAAGTCGTACCCCACCAAATACAAAGCATTACGTTGGCGTCGTGGGTATTCGGCTTTGCCATTGATTTATTTAAAACGATCTCGTAAATTACGATATTACGACTCGTATTGGAACCATTTTGCCTCACCAGCAATAATCCGAAGCAAACCTGTCATTTTGTAGAGTTCAGTTAGCATTTTGATATGCAAAATCTTCTTTCAATGGCTCGTGGCAACCAATTTTATTTCTTTTGAATGCAAGCGGCTGTTCAGCTTGGCTTCTTGAATGACTCGCAAAGATTCTGGGGGCGGTTTTTGTGCTTATCAAMAATCTTCATCAATTAAGCTTACAGTTTTTAATCTTCAAAGTTTTTTGAGCGCCCAGAACGTTTTTGATCTTCCGAACCAAAATTACTATCTAAAGGCATCACAAATCATTCTTGGCACATTTGCTCACATCTATCCAGCATCCATTCTCTATTACAGTATGAATTTCAGCTTTTTAGAGGTTTTGTTCGTATTAAAATAATCATGAAGAGCTCCAAACAGTATTTTTTTGATTTCTATTTCTCCGAAAAGAATTAAATACGAGGTATGTTCAAAACGCTTAGCGAATTTTGTGTTTTTTTTTTTTAATTATTTATTTATTCATGAATATCTATTTTGTCCCCTTCAAAGTAATCCCCATGAGATATTATACACTTGTGCCAACGGTCTTTCCAATCTTCGAAGCACTTCAAAAAATAAGTTTTTTTTTCTTCTTCAGCTCCTCCTTCGATGCCGTCTTTATCTCGTCAAGAGAAGCGTAACGTCGTC